CCCATCCCCTCCCCTCCCTAAAAACCCTCTCATCCTCCTCCAGTCAAGCCTCCCTCTCCACCCCTCAATAACACTCTCCTCCTCCTCAAGCACCTTCCTCCACGAATTCTCCCTCTTCACCACCACCCCCGGAACATTCCTCCTCAGCGCCGCAATCTGCTCCACCAATTCCTCCTCTCGAATCGCGAGCGCTTTTGCCTTTTCCCAAAGCTGTCCGTCAAATGGCTCATGTTCTTCGCGTTCTTCAATAATATCTTCGTTTATTTCTGGATGGAGATGCGAATCGAGGAGTTTTTGTGAGGGGGACATGCCGTTTATGGAGATGGATGGGGAGGCGGATAGGAAGGTTTTTTGAATGTACTGATTTTGAGGTTTTGGTTAGTTTAGTTTTTTTTATAGATCTTATTGCCTTTCTTCCTTTTCTTTTTTTTGGAAATTCATCAACCCAATCATACGATAATCCATAATGTTTAAATATCTCCACCTCATAAAAAGAAATATTAACACACCTCTCCCACAATTTCCTCCACCAACCTCCTCATAGCATCTTCCCCCTCTATAGGCGGTAAATCCCGATCAATCATTTCCCTCGCCGCCCTCTTCACATTCGCCACTAAATATTGAAGATCATCTGGTGATTGAAGTTCAATTTTCCTCTGTTGTTCCGCCATTCTGTTTCTCGTTAGGTGATATTTTCGCAATCTAGCGATTTTGCAATATGAGGAATTAGAATATTGGTTCGCTCTTGTTTGATTTTCAGATGTAGATTGCAGTTTGCGCGGTGTATGTGTGTATAATAAATATGAATTGAAATACTCAGTAATTGTCGTCTTCTCTATTTTAGTTTGAGACTATCGTAGAACTTAATTATTTGTTTACTTTCGCGCATCGGTAACCATCTTATCGCTGAAGAGCTTCTAGATTTCGGAGGTCTGTGCGTTTGTCGATTAGTAATCAAATGCTCGACCCCTCACCGGTGCGAACATCCATCTGACACTTCTCGTGCAATATAATATCTAATTCACTATATCCTAATATCCTTTTCTTCTATCCTCATTCCTCTTCCCCATCCTCTTCCCCATCCTCCTCCCCATCCTCCTCCCCTTCCCCTTCCCCTTCCACTTCCTCCTCCCCATCCCTCCCCCCCATTTCCCAAATACATGGAGGATATAAGTATTAGTGAGCATACATCATCTATCTAATCGACCAGTACACGAGTATTTACCTAACTGATCTCGTTAAATCATCTCCCACTTCCCTTCTCCCATCTAGTACCTCATCTAGTACCCCATCTAGTACCCCATCTAGTACACCATCCCCTCTCATTCCCCTTCTTCAGCTACTTCCCCATCCCATCCCCTCCCCTTTCTCATCTCGAACCACAAATATCACAGCTATCGAACAGGAACACATGATAACCATAACTCTAGTCATCGAACCTACCTCGGGTCCTCGACCTATCTGAGTGCGGCATCACGTGGGTGTTGAAGGCGTTAGCAGCATCTTGTATTGATTTTTAACCAAATACATCATACTAGAATCTATGTCTAGTATATACCAAACGCAACGACACACGAGAATGCCCTGTTCTGATAGTACAGCTTTTTTTTCCCCACTCGATTGATAAATTGTTGACCTCCTGGGATCTTGGCAGCATATGCATATATATTGCATGATGCACATAAGGAGCAAACAAAACTCAACTTTTAATTCATTCTTTCCTTTTTGGTATACTGTTTGTTTGCTTTCAATATTTTGATTTCAAAGCACTTTAATTCCGAAGGCCGAATACCTAAGCCTATTCCTTCGTTTTTTGAATATATACTCGCAGCTTAACTGCTTAGCTAGAGAATCAATCAATTCAATCTGATGCTCTTTCTGGTCTCAAGAAACCCAATATAAATACCAAACCTATACTACACACATATGAACCCTATATCTGAACCCTCCCTCCCCCAGAAAAGCAGCTAAAGCCCCCAGCACACCACATCTAATTAATCCACCAAAAATCGCATCACCAAGAAAATCTCAGAAACCTCTGACCCCCTCCCCTCTCCCCTTCTCCAGTTCCCAAAAAAAAGAGTCCTCCAGATTCTACCTGAGGCAATGATCTCATCTACTAGAGCCCTCGCTAGAGCCATAGCTAGTTTCCGATAAACAAACCAAGCCGCACCCAATAAACAAGATCGAAATCGAAACCAACAACAAATCCGACGAGTCACCAATCGAACAACTCCACCCAACACAGTTAAAGCAATAAGCATCACCCTAGCCCCATAATCACAACAGCACAGCAACCTATGCATAAGACAAACCCGCACTCGGGTGAAAAATCTTCCAATCATTAATCAGAGACCGCAAAGACTGGATATGGGGCAAGCACCAAAACACTCAGGTTGTTTCGCGACGCTCGGAGGTTTCTGCACCATGATTGATGAAACTTGCTGATGTTTGACCGAGCCGAACTTCGCAAATACTAGTTTCAAGCTTGAGTTCTGCGGGATTAAAACAATAAAGCTTGAGCTGTGTCGTTATTGGTTGGTTTATCTTCAGAATATGTCATGGTAAGGAAGTATCCATCAGCCCATCCGATAAACATTTGGATCATTTAAATTTTTTCCATTTGGGATGAACTTCATTGGACTTTAGTATTTACTAAAGTTACTCGGCGCACTAATACATACTTTAGTCTTTTTAGTAGCACGAGCATGGGCTTTTTGTAAATATCAACATTAGAATATATCCTTGTTAAGGTGATAATCACAAGTGAAATACCGTCAGCGGTGGGTGACACTGTCAGGAACCGTAGTCTCAAAGCCTAGGGGATGACCCGCGAGACATCAAGCAACTTCAATTGACAAGCGAAGCGACCTTAGAATGTCATCGGCAATTCCGATCACCATAGCTATATCATATCCGATCCTAATGGTTGCCGCGATGTTGAAACTTGACATGAATCAACATTGTGCACGGAGATCAGCTTGAGATGTTGCGGCATCATCACATGGCGAACCGGTCATTCATAAGTTATTATGAAGCCTTTGTCGTTCGGAAGGAGATGGATTTTTTTAGACAGTCGAATTAGATGAAGATTCCGTGTACAACATCCATCCTGAAAGCTACGAAGAATCGACAAGATGGTGAACACAGGTAGACCATCAAGAGGATGTTATCTCTGCAGATCTCGTCGTGTAAAGGTTAGGAATTATTTGACGTTAAAAATACAAGAGATACTAATGCAAACCAGTGTGATGAGAACAAACCAGGCTGTGGTAACTGCCGAAGACTGAATCGTGAATGTCCAGGATATCGACCAATTTTCGATGTTATGCATCGTAATGAAAACTCTGTGCAGCGCAAAAGATCTCTTGCAATTGCAAAGACCACAGCTCTGGCAGCAGTTCAAACAACTCGTTTCCACTATCGTAGTCCTCCTGCACAAGGGCGACTAAGACAGAATTCCTACTCCGATACCCAGAAATTGGTAGAGGCAATACATAATGGAACACAATCGCTGTGTCCGCCTTTAACAGCGGCATTAGAAGAACGCGCAATTTGTTTCTTCCTTGCGAATTATGTTTTGGTTCCTCATGGACCAATAAAATGTGGCTTTCTATGGTTTCTACTACCATTGATGAAACTTCAACCTTCAGCAATTTTATCAGACTCATTATCTGCAGTAGCGCTAGCTACCTTTGGAAATCAACCCAATGCAAGGATGTTAAAACCAAAAGCAGAGCAAGCTTACTCGAAAGCATTGCGTCAAATCACTAATGCTATCGGCGATCCAAAACAAGTGGCTGAAGATACTACACTCGCAGCAGTCTTGTTGCTTGGTTTATTTGAGGTCACGATATTTCCGCTTTTCATGACCAGACGGCTGCTGACTTTGAGTAGAATATGACAGACAGCCTCGTAAAGGAAAATCATGGGTGGAACTCCTGGAACTCTCATGTAAACGGTGCCACAGCGCTGCTGAAAATGCGCGACGTAAGAGGTCCGGTGACTTCAATAACTTTGGAGTTGGTCTGGACCGTAAAATCACACTTGGTATGTCCAAAGTCGAGGGAATATCGTTGATTGGAACAGTCAGCTAATTCTTGATAAAAGAACCTCAGCTGTCTACTCAATGGAAAAGTTTCCGACGTGCCAATGGAGTGGGATGAACTCCTTACTGCAGTAGGAAATCAAGCTAGCGGAAATCTTCCGATTATATGTAATCATCTTCAAGCAAAAGTTGCAAGAGCTCGTGTCGAATGTGACAAGCTTATGACCAGCGCAAAACGAACGACTGAAGACTTCGAAAATGTCCTGAGTCTGATGCAAAAAGCTAAAGCAATAGAGCAGGGCTACCTGGATTGGGGAGAAGCAACTTCGGGTGACTGGAGATATAAGCCTATAGGATGGATCGACGCCATACCAGAAGAGAAACTTGCTGGATCAAAATATTTTCCGGGTAAGATTGACAAGTACAGTGAACTTTGGACGGCCCATATTTGGAATCTATCCCGAGGATCACGATTGCTCAATTATAGCACAATCGTTCGATGCGCCGCATGGTTGTGCTCACCACAGGACTATCGAACTACTGTAGAGTATGAGAAAGCAATGATAGTCGGCAAGGAAATGATTCAGGAAATTATTGCCAGCGTACCTAATTGCCTCGGCGAGATACCAAAAGCTATGGGCGAGCCAAGTTCTTCTAAACACAGCTTCGCATGCGGAGAAGGCAATTGTGCAAAAGGGCTGTCTGCACTTTTCATAATGTGGCCTTTGTTTTCCGTCGCTACGTCAGACTTTGTTACCAAGACGCAAAGGACGTGGGTTCTGGGAAGAATGAAATACGCGACAGAGGAGTTGGGCGTTGGCCATGGATCTACTATGTACTCTGAGGTATGTGCTATATTGTGAAGATATTCCAGAAGTGAAGTTGTTGACCAGAATTGCAGCAACACTTATCAGTACGTATTCCATCTTCGATGTTAGAAAGGGACGGCCTGTTGCTTCAAAGATGGACCAACATTTGAATCGTCAAATTCCCGTCCAACAAACCTTTGACAATGTTGAGTAATTATGGAACAATAATTTTTCTCATCAACTCTTAGCCTAACATTGACTTTTTTCCGCCAAATGAACAGCAATTCTCACCAGGGGCCACATAAGACGGAGTTTGTTGAATCCTGATTCTTTCGATTCCATTATGATTAACAATTGGTTGCAGGAAATGCGGCCCAATTGTGATTGATTCGAACTGGTGCGCCAACGTCAGCAGAATCAGCTCAACAAACGAACGCTGGCAATTTCCTGGATGAATCCCAACCAGAAAGAAGTGACCACGACTGGTTGACATGTTGACATTTTTACCAACTATGTGGCAAGGGAATCGTCGTGAGGAGAGTTTCGAATGAAGATGTGATGAGTTTATTATTGGTGTTTTTTTGGAGAAGGTAACATTGACGATTTTGTATTCGAGTTATTTTTTAGCGGGACATACGCTTATCTACTTTCCATCTAGCGGGAAAAGCGGGAGTTAGCGGGATAACCCGTGACATTCAATCAGTTAGCCATCAAAACATGTTTCATGGAGAGATATTCAAATCCAATCAAGGTGTAATTTTAGTTTCATTCCAAAGGACGAGTAAACATAAAACGAAACAATGTTCCTATTCATTCCCTTTCTGAAACTTTAGACGAGTCATTTATAGCTGTACTGCATAGGTATTGGCGACGATTGGTTCGTCATTTCTTAGCAGTACTGTAGAAGTTTAAACCATACAATAGAAACACATATACAAAAACTACGCAACGAGGAAGTGGCTTACCAAGTATCATGGAATATTGTGAGCCACGACTGGATTCGCTTCCTTTCGATAGTAACTAAACCACCTAGATTGAATAAACCTCCACAGCCAAAATAGTCTGTACATACAAATTTCCAAAATCCCCCTCCAATTACCTAATCCACCCACGTGCACTCTGACTCCCATTCCACCCATTCCCCATGCTTGTACCACGATTAGCGGCAGCGGGTTCACGATAACAGTAGTGGGGTCCCTGATAACCTAGTGATAGATAGCTACCCCTAGACATCTCGTGGGGACTTAAATACTACTACCGTCTACATCCCTAAAACCGACTAGATATAACTTGACTCGGTATTGAACGATACAGATCTTACAGAAAAAGAGTGAATCATCTTAAATGTACTCGATATACTAAGTGTACAAAATGATATTCGAGTACCTACTCAACAAAAAGTAATAAACAAAAAGTAATAAACAAAAAGTTATCGGTGTCGGCACAAGCGATTTATTTTATTAGAATACCTGTAGCGATGACTTCATCGTGAGAGGGAAAGGCATCAAAATCACGCAAACAAGTGAACAGTTTCGAAAAGAAAAATCTTCTGCATAAATATCAAAGTTCTATTGGTTATATCGGAACGTAGTCATGCTCTCTGACTAAATCTGCAGTTCGTGTCACTAAACGTATCACAACATTTCGGTAGCCCCGACTGCAGCCTATGAAGTCGATGTAGTCGGCCTTTACATGAGGCTGAGTTCATTGTACTCTCGCGCCACCAAAAAAATTTGTTGACTGAAGATTTCAAAGTAAGTATGGGCAAAATTGGCATGTTCGGAGCAAAGATAAAAATCGAATTGACAGGGGAATCTGTTGCAAAAAGAGAGACGCCTAGTCCAGTAGACCAAATAGCCACATCCCAATGATTGTAATCCAAAACTCCTGATATTTCCCAACAAAACCAATACCACCAGTTCCCAAAACATATATTTCATCGCAGTCGATGACCAGGCTACCTATAATAAACGCACCCCTTTATCCGTAAAATTGCATTAATATGTTCAAAGCCGCTGCCCGAGAGTGTGTAAACCAGTACCCATCAATTTATATCAACGTCCACAAACTTGCTGACATCTACACATTCTATTGGGGAAACATTTGTTTGATTTCCTCGTCACTCAATCGAATCTCATGGACAGGGTCGCGCTTTCGTTCGAGTGATTCAAAGTCAGATTCCATATAGGAAGGGAGGAAGATTTCTACAACGAACGGTTAGCATATTGAAAAGGAAAGACATGACGTCCTTACCAGGATTCCAATCAAACCCTTGTGAAGAACGAACACAGGTGATCTATAAAATAGCATTTGTCAATACAGAGAATCTATCGTAGAATTTCCAGCTGGTAAGATAACGCACAAGTCTTGGAGTACCATCAGGATCTCCAATGTTGATGGTAGTATGTTCTTCCTTTGCAAGTGCCGTACCTAAGGTAGATATTTTAGTTACATTCTCTGCCTTTCATAATGAGAATAATAATCCCATCAAACTGCAGTAAAATCGTCTGATAATTACTCCTATCTTCTGGAAACGACCTTGTAAGCAACAATAAAGATAAGCACTTACTTAAAAGACTCCTTCTCCGGTCATGCCCGTATCGGGTATTTGGGGATGAAGCAGTTGACGACGGTGATCGTTGTGATTTTGTGGGGGAGCTTGAATATGAAGATGAACTACTTGGGCTCGCCGTGGTCGTAGCCTTATTGGAATTTCTGCTAGTTGGAATCGTAATAGATGACGACATGGTTGAAGGCAGGAGAGTTGGAGGGTTGAAAGTTGATGGATGTAAGTGATAATCAAAGGAAAGCAGTAAATTTTTGACTAGAAATCCTATGGTACAAACAGAAGGACTTCCAGTGATTGCTTCTTGAAGGTTGCTGTATATGGATTGCTTTGAGTGAATGCAAAGTAAATGGTTGAAGGGAGCCTTATGAGATAGATTAGAATCGGCATGAGTACCCCGTATTTTGTGGAGTCACACACTAGTAGCAAGGCTAATCTAGAATGAGTATAGGATGCCTAGATTTCCCCCGATGAATTTGTAGCCTTGAATCTAGGACATGAGTCTCCAGCCATCCACCAACATCACGTGTCAATGGTCCTGATTAGCTAAGCAATGATTTACATTTCGACCCTCCGAGCGTTTGGAGCTTCAGCTAGGCTAGGCTAACAATTACGCGCGCCTTCTGATTAACCTAGAGCGAAATCGAAGTAACAACACCATCATCATATCCATCCAAATTCCACCACAACCATACACTCGGATTCAAATCTACCAGCGATCTTCAATATGGGTGACGTTTTATTAGAGAACCCTGCGACCCAGGTTTTGCCTCACCGAAAACCATTGCCATCCTCAATACCAAACATCGATTCGCTGGAGGGATTGGGAACAGATGGTAGTGATGAGTATTCAACATTGAAGAAGCTTCAAAGGCATTTAGAGTTAGTGCACTTTTGCATAGATCAAAGGAATCAGAGTGCTGACTAGGCCTTACAGATATATTCAACTTCAGGAAGAATACATCAAGGATGAACAACGGTATGCGATCTGGACTCCATCTGTTGTACGGGCAAATACTTATCATCATTCCTATAACAGAAGCTTGAAGAGAGAACTTGTGCGAGCTCAAGAAGAAATCAAACGTATTCAGAGTGTACCTTTAGTGATAGGACAATTCATGGAAGCTATCGATCAAAAGTACAACTCACCTCTTCGCATCTTCACTACAATCAGTATTACTAACATGATCGAAATAGTACTGGTATCGTACAATCATCCACAGGATCTAACTATGTTGTTCGAATCTTATCTACTCTCGATCGCGAACTTTTGAAACCATCATCCTCTGTCGCACTCCACAGACATTCAAATTCTTTGGTCGACATCTTACCTCCCGAAGCCGATTCATCAATTGCTATGTTAGGATCCGATGAGAAACCAGATGTTACATATGCAGATGTTGGAGGACTTGATATGCAAAAGCAAGAAATTCGAGAAGCAGTTGAACTTCCATTAACACATTTCGACCTATACAAGCAAATTGGTATCGATCCACCACGAGGTGTTTTACTTTATGGTCCACCCGGAACTGGAAAAACTATGCTCGTCAAGGCAGTAGCAAATTCAACAACTGCAAACTTCATTCGTGTCGTTGGATCGGAGTTCGTACAAAAGTATCTTGGAGAAGGACCACGTATGGTTCGTGATGTGTTCCGTATGGCCCGTGAAAATTCCCCAGCTATCATCTTTATTGATGAAATCGATGCCATCGCCACGAAACGTTTCGATGCACAAACTGGTGCCGATAGAGAAGTTCAACGTATTCTTCTTGAACTTTTGAATCAAATGGATGGTTTCGATCAAACATCTAATGTTAAAGTCATTATGGCTACCAACCGTGCCGATACTCTCGATCCTGCTTTACTTCGTCCAGGTCGATTGGACAGAAAGATTGAGTTCCCCAACCTTCGCGATCGCAGAGAGAGACGATTGATTTTTACTACTATTGCATCAAGGATGTCATTGTCACCAGAAGTTGATCTTGATAGTTTGATCATTCGAAATGATCCATTATCTGGTGCTATTATTGCAGCTATCATGCAAGAGGCAGGTTTGAGAGCAGTGAGAAAGAATAGGTACAACATTATTCAATCTGATCTTGAAGATGCCTATTCTAGTCAAGTTAAAGGTGCACAAGAGGTAAGTATAGGGTTAAAAACTCGAGCAATTGTAAATATCTCTCTTGAACATATATTAACATTTCACAGGCCGATAAATTCGACTTCTACAAATAAACGATTGGTATTTGTGATAAGGATAATGGGAAGGGGTGGTGATATGGGAGCGGAGTGGAAAATGGAAATTGCCTTGAAATGTGACATTTCTGACAAGTATCAGATGATTCATTCTTGGCTTTTGCAATTGTACCAACATACCAAACATTACGTTTGTATCCATAGACTCTGCAATCAATTCAGGGATCTTCTACAAACTCCATGAATCTATACCCTATTGACATGGATTCTGTTTTTGATTTAATTGGTTTTGAATGATTATAATGATTTCTGAAGTGTGTGATTATGATGCCTCAACGTGTGACACTGCGATGATAGCATTATTAAGACTCATATGAATTTCACGAGAATATCATATAAACCTGAATTCAATAACGTGGTTTATCAGCGAGCGGGCCACATCACCGAGCGGGCCACTTTTACCTCAATTTATATTTTTCAACTTCAATACGCGATTTATCAACAATATATTATGGAATCGAATAATCAAGAAGGTCGAATACTTTTAGTTATTGAAGCTATCAATAAAGACAAAAAATTAAGTATTCGGAAGGTTGCTAAATTATATAATATCCTGTATACAAAGATTCAGCGCAAAATAAACGATTCTATCTCTTGTATCGAATCTCGAGCAAATGATTATAAAATAATTGAATTAGAAGAAGAGGTGCTTATTCAATATATAATCGATATAGATAAGAAAGGGTTTGTATCTAAATTGAGTAGTGTAGAAGATGTAGTGAATTATATCCTTGAATCACGAAATACAAAAAAGGTTGGAAAGCTTTGGATTCATCGTTTTGTCAAATGATGCCCAAAATTAAAGACATATTTTAATTATGTTTATGATTTTCAAAAAGCTTTTTGCAAAGATCCAAAGCTTATTGAAGAATAGTTTCGATTGATATTCAATATACAAGCGAAATATGATATTATCGATTTCGATTTCTACAATTTCGATGAAACCAGCTTTATGATAAGTGTAATATATCCTGGAATAATTGTAATTAATGCTGAACGAAATAATAGAAACAAGACAATACAATTAGGTAGTTGTGACGGAAAAGTCGTAAACGGAGTCAATTCAATTACTTAGAATCTAAAACTAAAGAACTAAGAAGATTCTAAGTAAGAAGGTCTTTATATACAGGGCTAGTGCACGTGAGCCACTAGTGGGATAACAACCGTCACGTAACAGTAGTCGAGAGTGAACTACAGTAATTATATGTTACGTTGTAACATTATAAACTATTATCACGTGTTATAGGATCACATGGATAGTCTTGTGAGGGAGCGAGGGAGCGAGATTCGAATCTCGCTCCCCAGCTCCATCGCTCCAATATTGGAATACGAAGGTCTATATAATCAAGATGGATTCCTTTTGTATAGAGCTTCGTACTCAAGATCAAGATCAATCATTTAGTATACTCTATTATTAGTTACAAATTGCATCATTGTCATTACTTAAGTCCCTGCTTGACGTCTAGTTATAAACCACCTCGAGAGCCTAGAGCACTTCCACGTGATCTAGACGGCAAACCTCGTAACATAAAAAAATATGACGGAAAAAAGAGATACTAGATTTAAAGTATAGGAATACTCGAATATATATTAGAGATAATATCTTTATTTAAGATTTAATAATCCATCTTTCTTTTTTCTTTTTTATTATATAGGTTATAAAACTCATTTATCAATTCTTCTATCATTTCACTTTTCCGTTCTCCCTCCTGAATTGCTGCTGTCACACCCTTAGTCAATTTCTCCCTATTTCTCTTAATAAACTTCCCTTTACCCCAAAGGTTTATCTCACCCACTCCAGCATCTACTCAAATCCTCAAAATCACATCTTCCTATTACTATTATCATCAAAATTCCGCCCCAACCACACCTAATATAAAGTAACTTGTTTAGCAGTGCAATCCTACAGCCCATAATCTAGTAGATAGTCCTTCTTTTCAAGAATGATCTTTGAAGACTTTATATAATATGGATATTGATCTGGATATGAATATTTTCAACTTCGTATCATAGCTTTGTGAATCCAAAGGCAGGAAAAGGAGAGAAAAGGACTAATAGATTTTTAACACGGTTGTGTAAGAGTATTAGTATTATCTTGTTATTAGGAGAGTATGATTGAGTTTTTGTTTTTTTCTTGGGTTCTTGGGGTGGAATGAGGTGGAATGAGGCGGGGGGAGAAGGAGAGGGGAGGAGAGGAAGGAGGAGAAAGAAGAGAAGAGAGAGGGAAGGAAACAAGAGTTAATTTAAATAACAAGTTTGTAATTTTATATTCTAGAGTATAATGAGAATAAATTCATAAGCGGTTTGATATAGATTTATAGAGGAAATAAATACAATATATCTAGATATACATACCCAGTTCATTAATACTTGTAAATGAATTTCCTGCCAAATACAAACTTTTGGTATCTATTGCTCATTCTTCATTAGTGATTGATAGATAATTATCCAATCATTATTCCCCGCCTCTTTCATTTTAGAAACTCTTTCTTCCATTAATTCATTCTTAACCAAACACAGCTCAAGACGCTCACAGCTTTATCCATGATATCTTGACTTAAAAGCCATCCAAATTTTCAAACTTTTAAATTTATGAATGTCAGAGTCACCTATTGCTATTTTCATACAATCTGCTTAGAAGATAGAGTTATTCTTCAGAGAATATATTCAAACATGATCCTCACACTTATTGGACTAGAAGAACAAAGACCTTGTCATTCCCTGACTACTTCTTGCTTTTTGTAAACTAAAGCTAAGGAAAATGGGGAGTTGCCAGTATCTTAGATATCATCCAACTTTGAAATTGTCAGTGCTGATAAACACAGAAGAAAAGAAGAGATCAATCATGAAGACAAATTTTGATAAAGCAGAACTTTTACACGGAAAGGGTGATCTTGTAAAGTACCTATTACATGAAATTCAGCTTACCTCGCAAGACCTAGCGTCTGTTAGGATCAAAAGCAATAATTGGTCCCTTGCCTTGGAATGGAAATTCTTCATAAATGATCTCTGACTCAAGCGTTTCCTTGATAGTGACATTCCGCCAAATTGCACTGTAGGCGCCCTGACCCTTGTATTCATATTTGCGCTTCGATATCATCAAAATTAATCCCGTCGCCGTCACGGGTTTCAATCTCTTATGACATTGTTGTTTTGCGTGATTCAACCAACTTTCTCCTTCTTCGGGTGGAATGGGACTTTTCAAAAGTATCTTGACGTCCTTGGACCAAGGGAAGTTCCCAACAGAAAAGATATGTTCATGGGTAGATATCTTTTCCTTCTTGTCGATTACAACGATATCCTTTAAAGTGTCCTGAAGCCTTTTACGCGTGATTTTAAGGTCAGGCGCATAGGCTAGCATGCTTAGACTATAATGAATGGACCTGTCTACAAGAAATGGCTTGCTGAGTGCAATTTCGAATCTCGACTGTGTTCGAGTAATGTTAGTCAGCGACTCCCTGATAAACTCAATCTTGGAAGTGCCCAAATGACGGAGCATTTCCAATTGAGGGATTTTTTCATCATTAATCCTTGGTGCGTAGATATCTCGTCGAAGATTTCTCAGCCTGACTTCGTCAAGTGGGTTCAAGCGCACCATAATATTCAGCAATGGTCCAAAAGGCTCACTGGTGTTGGGAAAGAACTTCAGCACCGATGCCATATTGAGTATGAGTTATTAAAGCCGAAGGACTGAATGGTTCAAACTCTATATCCAATGTTAACTAACTTCCTTGACGACAGATTGTAAGTTAATACTTTGTTTGGGTGTTACTCAGCTAGAAATGTTCCTTGACATCAGAATCCAATCAACTTGATCGAGATCAAACCCTTGCGTATTGTAGGTTGAGATTATCAACCAAGTGTAATTGAGTTTCCAGCCTTGATTTCTCAATATATTAAACACAATAATACGGCTCCAAAAGTATCTCGTGCGTGATATTGATCGACGTGAACTTGTACCTATTGAGGCTCTTCCACAACAAGATTGAAATCAAATTGATACTGTGGAGTTATGGTAAATTAAAATGCAACCCTCTTTTATATAACTTGAAGGGAATTTAGAGGAACGTTTGATGTTGCTGATGTTGACTTTGTGAGGAGTGCATGATGATCTGCTAATGGAAAGTTGTAAAGTTTGTTACTCTGTAAACGATTTCATTAGCTGACTAAGCCAGATTATATGATTATGTATTTAAGACGAGCCACATTCGAGCCACCGCATCCATCTATTTGAAAGAACAAAAGCATATATTAGTTCCTGTTTATACATACAGAGTGATGGTATAAACATCTACTTTCAAGCTTCAGAAGCATATTTCTCCACAACTAGATTGAGGACCGAATACTCTATTGAACTATTTCATCAAATGTGGTAGGATTAACCAAATCTCGCTGCACAAGTAAGTCGAGCAAACAACCCATCTATCCTGCTCTCCAATACATCCTTTCTCTCCATGATTAGACACCATGCTCAGACGCGCCACCCTGAGGTCCCCAAATTGATCGTTCAACGATCTATTCCAATTTTCCACTCTTCTCATCTACTTTTGCAAACATGAAGCTCTCAAATCCAATATCTGCACCATTAATCTTAATCGTTCACGTCATATGGGCCGCCAGGCGTTCTCCATCGCGGAGGAATCGGTCACTATCGCGAAGGAAATATACATGTTAGCTACAAGTACTTGTCTGCGTTGAGCTTGTATAGTTCCAGACTGCGTGCTGAGTCTGGCTCGGGGTCGGGTTGGGTGGAGGGGGAATGGCAGAGCGGCTACTTACAACTGGTTTGTATTCACTAATATTAGCTCGCTACTCTCCAATACCCTTTACGTAGACGTCAAAGTCTGATCGCTGTCCGTTCATGCATGATAGAATGTGGGTAGTGAGGTACTTTCGGCATAGAGCTTTGCCTCCGCAGGTGGTCCAGTAAGACTCCACTCCATAGCGCGCTGGAAGCCTTCAAGTGTGGAAGTGTACTCAGATATGTTGATAAAGGGTGATTGATAAATGCAGGACCGTTAAAACCGCTGGCTAAGTTTATTCTCTCCTTCTTTAATGGGAGAAAATTATGGATATTTTTGCGAAAGATGAGGTTTAAGCTGGTCTCCTTGTGCTCTTTATATTTGTAGCAAGTCGAGTGCTGTACCTCATAAAATGGCAGTTGGAGTAATGTTGGTGCAGGATGCGATGTATGTGTGGTGGGGTCGCGATCGAAGCCAGCCTAGGGTAAGGTTATGTGAGTATACATCTTTTTTCAAATAGGTCAGTAGTGTGTGTGAATCTCTAAGCAATTCTCTACTATACGAACTATGTGTAAGGACAGTTGCAAATATCAGGACGTCATTATCACAAATTCAACACCACTTCGTCCTGTTTCAAGGTCTGGTTTTGCTTATTCTGTATCTTTGATTACTACCTTCTCAATAAGCAATGGTGGTCAGACCAGTGTCGCCTTCAATAATTGCTGTGCCTTCTACCCTATACCCTGGCCGTTGCATTCAGAGGTATACGATTGTTGAGTTGCCAAGTTTGGATGCAGTAGTAGACATATGGCTATCCCACACCCGACCTATTACCAGGGTAGCCAGTCCTTGCACCTGTATACAGGTGTGAGAGAGGCTAGTGGCCAGTTCCCGAGTCGCTTTAAATATACACAGAAGCTACATTGCGGCCGATTTGCCATCCTAAGTTGCAGCAAAAATATCAGCAGCAAAGTAGTAGAGACAAATGGAGCATAATGCCCGGCTGGTAGAAAAGCGATGGCATCATCAAGTTTGCTAAATATCACCAACTCATTATTTCTAACAATATATGTGCTCTTGTAGCACGGATTGGACTCAGGTAGCATTCTCTATGTGCTCCTCCGATGTACCTGGAACAATTATCGATCTACGAGACTACGAAACCTTTGCTTTTGATATACCTTTGTGTCTCTTCGCTAAGGCTTGAATTTTCATAGTTTCACCCTGTGCTCTGCCCCTTTTTATATATTTCAAATCCTTATTGAAGCCTTTCCTTGTGCTTGCATCTTTCCATATGCTTTTGGTCTTTTGTGATCCACGTAACTGCTTACCACATATACATATCTGTCGATCCACATACTTTATTTAAGGACATTTCGCCAGGCAGCACTACTTTTCAACTATTCTACTTTTCTTTATCTCCAAATCTGATCAGTGCGCTCTAGCAGACTCTTAGCTTCCGCGACTCACAGACATCATGAATTCATTCACTGGTCTTTGTCAGGTCCCAGCAGCACCGTCCCCAAATGGGCATCATAATTTCGTCAACCCCACCTCGTTAGCACCAGCTTTGATGGGAGTCATGAGCGTGATGGTGGCATCGGACATCATATTTACTGCCGCTAGATTCTACGTCAATACCAGGGTTCTAGGCTTGGATGACTGTAAGTACAGGTATTTGTCGACCATAAACTTTTCACGTATGTTACCGTAACTCATTACTTTGACCATGACGCAGACTCCAATCTGATTTCTCTTTTCCTCTCAATAGCCATCCTAGGTATCGAGGGCACCCGTGAGTTCTTCTTGTGCTAACGAAACAATCCTATAGTGGCTGATCGAATTGTTTTCGTAAAGAGAGCTCAAAGTGGCGCGTCATATCTGGGACGTACCAGCATGCTTCTCTGATACCAGCTATGCAAGAGTACATATTAAAAGTTTCCAAAAATGCGAAAGATATGTTTGCTAATAATGACGACAAGGCATTTATATTCCGGCGGTCCTTCAAACCGGCTCCTTTTTTGCTAAAGCGTCCATTTTTCTTCTTTTCCGTCGACTTTTCAAGGTGCAGAAGTTGATGCTAATTGCCATATGGTGATGAATGCGCCACAGAATGATGTGCCAGTCAAAAATAGGGGAAGAGAAAGACTGGTCTAGCCTGATGTTTAACTCAGAGAAACTGTAAGATCTTACAAATAATGCGAATCGTCATCGCATTACCGTAAAAGGAAATCGGAGCCGCATAGCTGTGCACTCGGTGGAGATGGATAGCTTGTTTCGCGTAAAGAATAGATACATACCCTACTGAACATTTAGTTCTACCGGAAAAGAAGCCCCTTCGAGATTTTGGGATGACAGGAATAAGAAGAACTTGCATTCTTTCTTACCATCACATGAAGTCGACGTCAATAGTTTACTCCCTGATATTTCCTCTATTTTTGTTATTAGTATCACTCCGCACATTCTATTAGTGGAAGAACTTATCAACGAACCGAACGAGATCGTTATAGCAACTAAGTTTGAGATGCAAATCTTTCGATCGGCCATAAGCGTACAGGGTGAAGAATTCTTCGCGCAGCTATTGAAGCACAAATTCCGTCCCAATGGTATGCCCATTCAAGAGTCTCTGTAGTCACTCGGCTATCCTGCTACTAATTGAGATATTGACCGAGGGGACGAACCATTTCATGACCTGAAGCAACGCGCTGCACACTTTGTGATGTAAATCGTAGGTAGCTACGTGAGAACTTTGATGAAACGAAGAAGAATGCGCCGCTAAGTTATGGAAAGAGGTAGATGGATAGAGAAACCAGAGAGGCAAAGACAAGGAGGAAAAAAGCGAGCTTCGAGGAACTTTCGAAGAATGCTGATCTTGCAAGTGAGATAAGAAAAGAAGCAAAAATGATAGGATCTCCTCTCCGAGCTCGCCACTTTCCAGATCCATACATTTTAAATCCCTGTTTAAGTCAGGATAGGATACTACAATCATATTTCTAGACTTCCTATATTTCCCTTTTTAATACTAGAATTTCTCCATAAAATTCTTCATAGACCTAGCTCTTTTAGTTCATCATGGCGATTATTCAAATCTCTCCCTAATTCTTCATTACCTTTAATCACGCACATATACGCCAACACTCTGAGCGGATGCTTCATGCTTGCTGTCTTGGTATAATGTATTGTTCCTATGTGTGTTCAAAAATAGATCGATTGATTCGAAATTCCCTTCTCCCTAACTTTCCAGTCAAAACCGCGTAGGAACCACATCAATATTCACCAATTTACCCAATGATGGAGCTTGTAACTCTGCTAAATGGATACTCACCATTTGGAAAAGAACTCGGTATGATAATCACTATCTTTTTACACATCTTCTATTAGTGTATTTCAGTGTGCTGACTTAATTCTCTCTGCAGCATTCAACGATAAATTTATATCCTCCGCATTGACATATGTCGAGCAAACACTCATCAACGCCGAAATCGTAAAACTAATGCCTCGTATTTCTACGTCCGTAAGTTCAACACTCTGTATACTCTAACCAATGAATTGCCCATCACTTACATGACTTTACCAAAGTCTAGTCGGTGGGATCCTAAGTCGACGTCTCAGTGCCCACCGGACTTTCTTCAAATGTCGCGGTTGATTATAAATTATGCTTCTTTATAGTTAGAACATTGATATCGGTGTGATGATCAATGCAAACAAGGATACGCGACACCGTGTATTCGATAAGCTTCGTAGGACTACACCATATGAATCTTGTTTGTTATATGGCTGTTGTACTTCCTATATCCTATATAGTAGTTATGAAGTTATAACATATATACTCTGTAGAGTTTCTATCACTTCTTACTATAAGTTAGTTTAGATGATATCAAAACACAGAACAAAAAATACACACAAAGGAATTAACATGGATAATATACTCATATATTATTGAGAAAACTTTCTACTTTCTTCTTCTCCGTCTTCTTCTTCTAGAAGAGATGCATATATAATATCCCATCGTTTGAATAGCAATCACCATGTAAAATCCATAATAGACTGACTATATAACAAGTCTTTACGCCATCCATCCATCCTTCCATCCATCCATCCATCCCATCCCATTCAAGTCACTCATTGGCCATGCCAAAAATCCCCAGAAAATACATTCTGTAAATCAGAATTTAACGAGTGCCTAAAACGCCATCCATGCATGCCTTTCACGCTTTCATGCTTTCATGAAACCAAGTAATATTTATCAATATCTCAAAACAGCAACGAGCTCCTAACTCGTCCCGTCTAGAAGTACTGCAACTCTCCACTTCCACCACTCTTTCCACCATTACTCTTTTGAAGTTGCTCTTGATACTGCTGAAACTGTGCCTGTACCAATTGCTGCGGTGTTTGGTAGTTCTTTTGCAATGGCGGAAAATCTTCGTAGGCAACTGCAGGATTATATACTGGTGGCGTATTATTTGAGCTTCGTTCATTGACATCATCTAGAGATCGATAACCGTATCCTCTTCCTTTTCCTTTACCTCCACCTCCGTTACCATTACCATTACCCCCACGATTATTTCGACCATAACCACCACGTTGTGGACCATTTCCACGGTGATTTCCTCGGCCACCACGACCACCATAATTATTTTCTTGACTCCCTTTCTTAATTTGAACTTGATTGTGTCCACCGTATGATCCACTTGGCTGCCTAGGCTCAGGGGAATGTTTGCGCTTGAATGATTTATTGGGGAACAGACTTTCATACTCGTTCTCAGAGAGATCTTCCTTCTCTATCCTGAGAAGGACTTTCTCTCCGACAGTACTTTCAAAGACAAATGCCTTTTCTGGTGGAACAGGTTGCCAATTTTGAATCTTACCTGCATCAATTGGTCGAGCGCCTTTGCGCAATGCGAGAACGACAACAGGAATTGGATTTTCGGTATAGAATTTCTTTGTCTCTGGTACAGGCCTGACACGAGCGGCCCAAATCTTGTTCTCAAAGACTGCTGTTCCTGTTACTTCCCAGGTAGTCTTACTACCCATTCCTCCAACCTTTTGCAGAATACTTTCTGGACATGGGCGAGGAGTAATGAGAACATTGTTAGCCAGAAACTTTGCTTCAGTGTCTGGCATGTTCGATGGAAGCTGAGCTAAAGTAAGCAGCTTCTGAGTGTCAGTATTATTGATCAAATATCCAGTATAGAAAACAGTCTTCTTAATTTGAAGTCTCTCGCCAAATTTTCCTGCATCGATTGCAGCATTATGATCATTGATCAAACGCTGTACCTCTGCAGCTTCCATAACAGGATCAAGTAATGTGGCACCATCTGCAACCTGAACCACTTCAGCAACAATAGCAGAACGAGATGGAATACCATTAGAGCCATTTTGACGTTTGTTATAATCCGTGAAGAAATCTCTGAATGCCTTAACATGTCTGACTCTATCCTCGTAAATTCTGATTTCCTCAGCACCTTTGTATGTCTCCATTAAAGTTTCCAAGAAACATTGTTTGAAGTTCATCGTACTACTGAACCTCTCATTCCTAGGACCTGCTGCTGGTTTTAGGACAATCATATCCACATCAAGACCTTTACTAGCAAGCATTCTTTTCAGCAATTCTGAAAATCCTGCCTCGGAACGACCAGTTAAAAGAATTGAAAGAGCATCTTTTTGTTGTATACTCAACTCAATGAGATCAACAATTCGCTCATTCCACCAACCTTCCCAAGCCCGAGGTTCTTCTTTTTCTACACCTTCACCTGTAGCTGCAAGAATCCTCGAGTCATGCCACCAACCACCAGTCGCAAATGTATCTTGAGTCTGTAAAAATCCTATAGTTGGCCCATTCCATAATTTCGGATTGGGAAGAGGGCTGTTGAAAACTTTGAGGAGAAGTTAGCATATTGTATAAGAAATAAGTGAAGAGATGAAATTTTGGGAGGATGAAAGACTTGTTGTCCTCGTAGATAAATCGTGAAACTTACGGGTATTATCAAAATCATAAACATGAAGAGCCTTAATTTTGTCAACAGCTACAAATAATTAGCAATGCACCCAATCCTATCCCCAGATTTCCCATCATCCAAAATTCTTACAAGGCAACTGTTTATCCGCAACAGACCAACGATTCAAAGCCGTAGTGGTATATAGATTCGAATTGGACACTCCATTTGGAGTATGCGCCATGATGAGGCGTAAGAAGAGACAAATATGTGCAGGCTTAAAATGGGCTTTTCAGTGAGGTTAGAAATCGAAAGAGGTTTGCTGAATCTCTGCGCACAATTGTCGATGTTTTGCAGATGCGATTGATGACTTGTGATTTATTGACGTTGCCAGAATTTCCATTTAGAGTCACTTTCCTCGAATCTCGAAATGCGTGAGCTAACGGTCGCGCTATGCCTTTTTATACTTAGCGTAACCTTACCAGTAACCCGAGGGTTCTCGATTCTTGTTCACTTCACACTTCACACTGCGAACATTCGTTTCGAGACCTTTCAAAGAATTTACAATAACAATCAATCCACAATGGTGATCGGTCCAGCAACAAAGACTTTTGGATTTTTCAAGATAGTCAAACAAACCATCCATTTACGCTGTCACGTGAAACCCAATGTCAGCGCGTCAAGAGCAGGCGCCATCAAGCCGTTTACAGACACATCTCCCATACTCGAAATATGTGTCCCTGAACCAGCACGAGATAATGAAGCAAATGAAGGGGTCATTGAACTTCTAGGTGATGTATGAATTTCGATTTTTTTAATACTGATTCTATTGTTACTCGTTGATTATGTGAAAGGTTGATTCCCTGATAATATCTAGGTATTACTATGTCCAAAAACAGACCTGGAGGTTATTCGTGGAAAGAAATCGAGGGACAAGGTTATTGCGTATAGAAGTTTAGAAGGTTTATGGATAAATTGTGCTATTGCTAGAATGACTGTGAAAGAGCTTAGAGAACGCTTGCAGGAAGCAAGTAGTGATGCGGAGACTTGATAGATTATGGAAACTTGAGTTTTTTTTTATCTTTGCCATTAGTACGCATAATGCGATGGAGCTTTCAATCGACCTACGTAACCTATTGTTCAAACTTTGCAGAGTATTCCCAACTCCTAGAAGGTTCATCTCAAGAAGTGGGCTTCGCTTATCAAACGCAACGCGTTCCCTCCTATGGGAGCATCTCTCGCATTTCCATCGATTAGTCGGCATGTCAGTCATCCTAGTAGGGAACTATAGCAACGCACGCATACCGGCCGAGAACAAGATCAGCGCTAGCTCTGTGCGCCGATTGAAGTCCTATATATAATACTCCCCTGTTGGACCCCTCAAGTTGATCCTTGGTGTCATGCCCGTCATTCCTTAGGCGAAGAAAGAATACATCATTCGAGAAGTCAATCATAGCGTCACCTGAGAGGGAGCTCCCACATTATATGACTCGAGTCCTCGGTCATTTAGATTATAGCTTCATGGTATTCGCGGAAGCGGTAGTCAAGAGCACAGTGCAAGAAAGTGAATAGAAGACATACCACCAACTGCGAGGACCCCTAGTTACACAGACCCTTCTCTCATGTGTGGAAATAATATGAGCTTAGCTAATCAAAATGGCTTGCCGTGATATGAACGTAGAATTAACATGCAAGAAGGATTCCAGATAATGGTTGCTTTTTGAAAGACTTTTGAAGGAACGAGGAGGATCCGACTAGATGAAGCGGCACAAGATGCATATGAGTGCCAAAAGTAAGGAATTTGATTTGGAGGGCAACTCAGCAAGGCAGGGATATAGTAGATATCTATCTGTCGCACAACACGACAAAAACACAGGAAGGTTCAACCAAAAGCGGAAATACTAGGATCTCCTGCCTAATTTGCACCCTCCACACTCTCATTCATCAACCAAGGATGGGGGAAGACAATGCATGCATGTTTGTTAAGCCTTTGGGACGGATCATCACTGGATGTCAAGATGGCAATTGAGCACAAGTAGGATTCTAGCCAATATCTCTCTACTCGTACCGATTTAGGTTTCTCATGTGCTCTTTAAAATCCACCCAAGATCACATTCCGAGAATTAAAAAGGAAGAAGAAAGATGCCGAGAAAAGTCATTGGAACATCTCTTTCATCAGTGGCGTATATAAACTCGGATAGAACGGTTGCAGATGTTCTGGAAAATCAAGAAAACGTGTTATACAGTCAATCTCTTCAAATAGCTGTGCTCCTCTGCTCTGTACTTACCGCGTACAGGAACATTTAATAGGTAGTTATAGCCAAGAAATAGGGCTCTGGGGTCCTGTAAGCAAGCCACAAAAAGCATGTCAGAAATATTATGCTTTTTTTACTTTTTTCGATCGGTGGATCCCGTTTATGCATTAGTAGTCTGATGTATGCTATGCGCGCCGGATAAGTATGGAGGCATCAAAGAAGATCCTTTCTTATTCTTCCTGGATAAACCCGATAAGACTGAAGTTGGAGGGCTGATGGTGGATGTCAGTGGAAAAAATATCCCGAAATGTAAAATTTTTCGAGAAGCCGATATCCGATTTCCCATGTAGTGGTGGGGAATATTTAAAGCTTTGAAGCCTTAAATGACATAAAAATACCACAGAGATCCCGAAGAGAAATTAGTTTGAATACAGCTTAATAATAAATGTATATCTAAACATATATTTTCTCCAGCAGTCTATGAGATAAGAAAATAAGGTGATAGACATGAGATTGGAATACCATATTAGCTCTTTCGCATTGCATATAGGTAGCGATGTACAATTCACAACAAAATCTTTGTTGTTTTTCATCTCCAAGGAAAAAAAAGATGGTGAATGAAGGGTTGTTCAGCTGTGCCGTAACCATACATATAAAGGGTCATTGGTACCACCAATGACCCCTCGGATGTGGCTGTCACTGCGTCATTCCCACTCAATTAGTGGAAACCCTTTGTCTCTGAACCTGATGGGTTGATGGGACCGAGGGACCGAGGGAAGCGAGGTGAAGGGGTAGAAGGTGAAGGGGTAGGTAGAACTTCCGATTGCTACACATTCTACTCTGTAGTGAAGAAGGGTTTTGTTTGCCCATTTACCTCTTTACCTGTTTACCTAGTCATAATTATTGATGAAATAAAGGGGGAGAATACTCTATAAAGAATTCAACGTCCGTCTTTAAAAATGTGATGAGATTAGTCAAAGAACGGAAGCATCTCCGAGGATAAATTGAAGGAAGCCCTTTCAACAAATAATATTGTACTGTACATACATACCATCTAACTCTCATTTGTTGAAAGGATTTCTATCAGAAAATTAATACATACCTGTGAACTTGTGATGATGCTTGATGACGATCAATTGCCACAACATTAACCTGCACTTGGCTCGGTTGCAGGTACGTTAACATGGATCATGAGAAAGAAGGAGGGCATGAGATTATCCGATAAAGGAGTGTTTATAGACAATGAGTGTGCTTCATCATTGGTCGGATGCGTATGCACAATGCACATGCTTTCGGTAGGAGCCCCTTCATTTGAGCTTCATGATTCAATACAACGTCGTTGTCTTTTTCTTGGGAAGAGTTTTTAATATTAACAACACATCAAGTGGGGATCGGTCGGCAACTAGATCACAAGGTAGAATGCCTTATATAAACCGTTAATGAACTTATTCAAGAATTGATCAATATTTTTCTATAATTCTATAATTCAATGTATTTAGTCTAAGCCCTATAATCCTAATCCTATTAAAATACATTCAAAGTCCTCAATTAACAAACTCAACAACGTCAACTCAGGTCGGTACACTCAAGGTTCAAGGTACCAAGTTTCTCCTATCAAGAGCGTAAATGTACAATCTTATTACCTCGGGGATCTCTTCCGAAAGATCAATAAAAGCAATAAGCGGTGGGTCCCCTTTCGAATTTCTAGCAGGTTTCAACCTCTTTTCCTCGATATCTTATTCGCTTTTCTCCTCGAGTCCCCTCCTCTTTCTGAACATTTTCTCTTTCGCCCCATGTACATACATGTGTGTACATGTTCTTATTGCGGGTTACTTTAAAAGTTATCCCGTCCGCTGAGTCCCAGGGTTCATGAAAACCTTCATCGGCAAATGAGAGCACAGAGGAGAGCAAAAGGAAAAGTGACAGTGACTCGAAAAGTGGTCCATGAAAAAGAAAAGGATGTGCTCCGTGGACATAGCAGTGCTCAGCACACATCTAAGAAATACTCCCAACACACCCTCGGTACATCCATAATCAGCCCAAGTAGTATTAGCGTAATTTAGCGAAGCTAATATAGGTAAGGTCTCCTTTCCAGCAAAGACCTTTTTACATAACTAGAGTATTTAACATGACTTCTATCACATCTTCTAACCTAAAAGAAATCCCCACTTCCATGTTGTTCGCCAGGATCCTGGATTAGATTGGGCTTTTTGCTAATAGTGTTGCCATTGTACTATACCTACTAGTACTAGCAGCCTTCTTCCTACCTTGGTAAATCAACAGTTCTTTTGACTTTGAGTAATATCTCGTACAGAGTACGGAGTACAGAGTTCATTCTATCATTTTAGCACCCCTTCTCATCTCACCTCGTACCGCGCTACATCCACATTTGCCCTAGACTTTGCGAGTTACAATGTCACACCTGGTTTGAAAAATAAGGGCAGCCGCACCAGACACACACGCAAGAAACCTTCTCCCTCTCTTCTTTTCTTCTCTTGTTCCTCGAGTTCTAGATTCTGGACAGCCAGACGAGCCAGACCTTCTTCATATCTTGAAAATCTTCCCGTTCTAGATTGTGTGTCCCTTCATTACTATACTTGTAAGTCGTTATCCGATACAGCGATACCCATACCCGTACCCCATCCCGGAAAACATGATTGATTATCATCTTATCATGATTAAATCTCGTTTCTCGTTTCTTGAATCTCCAATAATCCTTACGGGATTTTCCAAATGATTTCCCGTTAACCGTGTGTTCGTTGTTCCCAGGGCCTATCGATCTACATACCTACCGACCTACAGTTAAGGCAACTCTTTTTTTTTCGACCGAAGACAGAACGGCCCGTGCATCTGCAAAAGGTCATTTGTACTACCAAGTACTTTTCGATCATCGTCCCTTTTTTTCCCTCGCGTCCCATCTATATAGAGGTTTATCCTCGACATTATCGTCGACAAATCAGGTCACTTTGGGGGGAGGAAATAATATCTTCAAATATCACTGTCATCGGACAGGTTTCCGCGCGACATGATGGAGAAAGGTGGAGATATGGCTGGTCCTTCCGCCAATAATTCGAGCGACTTTGTAAGTACTACTCCTACTCTGTCCCTTATCGCGACTTGATGGCGCATTATCAAAAACATCTTCAATTGCTAACATATTCTCCCAGGTTCGGAAATTATATAAGTGAGAGAATACCCCTTCAGGTGTCCCGATTGGACAATTGTTTATGCGACACGCCGCTGATCTGCCAACCCTTTAGAATGCTCGAAGATCCATCGTATGAAAGTATAGTACGGTGGGGTGAAGGAGGAGAGAGTTTTGTGGTTCTCGAAGTACGTCTTTAGATTGGAAATCGGATGTGGTGCATCGTTAACATCAAGAAATAGAACGAGAAGTTTACCAAACAAATCCTCCCGAAGCACTTCAAACACAGCAACTTTGCTAGTTTTGTCAGGCAACTCAACAAATATGATTTCCACAAGGTCCGACAAAATAACGAAGACAACACAGCATCTCCATATGGGCAAAATGTTCGTGGTATTTTCCAGATGTACAAGACAACATGCTAATTGACTTTTAGGCTTGGGAATTCAAACATCCCGAATTTCAAGCGAATAAAAAGGATTCACTAGATAATATCAGACGAAAGGCTCCAGCTCCAAGGAAGGCTGCTCCAAGTAATGAAGAGCCATATCCAGCCCATGCTCAACAGCAAATGGATCTCCTTGGTAACCAACTCGCGGCCACTCAACAACAATTACAAGGTCTATCTCGCAGTTACCAAGATCTAGCACAGCTTAATTTAATGTTATTGCAACAAGTTGTTGACTCTCAAAAGTTTATCAAAAACCACGAGGGAGTTATGCGTGGCTTGGTCGGACATCTATTCAATCAGGATACACAACGACGAAACGGTCGGCCTGGGGGACTTTCGAATGGTGCTGGGCCCAACATGCTGGGTCGACAAACGGAGGATGATCATCCATCGACACCGTTACTTCAAGCTCAAAACCTTCTAGGACAACTATCTGCTGAAAATTATCCAAGTAAGGAATTGGAACAAATGAGTCATGATTATCATCTACGAACAGATTACTCTACTCCCCCGAATGATCCAGGAGGACTTGTTTCAATGCCCACAATTTCTGAGTCGGTAACTGCCCCAGCGGGCTATTCTATGGACAAATCAGAACTGGATAACTTGGTTTATCCCGTTGGTGCTATAGTTGGCATTGATCCAATTGATCAACAGCATGTCAACAATATCCCGTATGCACTTCCACCTTCGGGCTTAATGCCGCGGGACAGCATTCCTCCAGCCGAACTAATGCCCCAGCCTTCACGTACACCCGGTCCACGTAAGAAGGGTTCGGTGTCGATTTGGGGCGACCGGAAGCCCAGGATTTTACTGGTTGAGGATGATCAGGTGTGCGCACGAATTGGAACAAAATTCCTCCAATCTTTTGAGTGTGGTGTTGATATTGCTGTAAGTCCCTATGCCCTCTCTTGTGAAAGTTGATTGTGCATCTTGAGCTTACACTCTCAACAGCGTAATGGACTCGAGGCAGTAAGCAAAATTAATCAAGGTGAGGATAACCATTTTGATCTCATTTTGATGGATATTATTATGCCTCACCTCGATGGTGTTTCTGCAACTGTCTGCATAAGAGAAATGCGTGCAAATCTTCCTATCATTGCAATGACATCCAATATTCGAACTGATGATATCGAGATGTACTTCCGTTATGGTAAGTTATATTACACAAGCACTTATTCTTTGAAAATATTGACTTAGTTAGGTATGAATGACGTCTTACCCAAGCCTTTTACGAAAGAGGGTATGATGAAAGCACTTGAGAAACACTTGGGTCATTTCAAAAAGAAAGCATCTACTCTTGGCTTCTCAAGCCCCGGACAAATGTCACATCCGGGAGCTTTTGTCACACCAACCCAATCGCATCCTCCATTAGGTTTAAACATGGGACAATTGACCGCGGCCCAATCGATAGTAGATGATTCAGCTTCTGGAAAGTCGCCTCAAACTGCTACATCTTGGCAGTCACCTATCCAATTACCAGGAGGATCTCCTGTTGTAACCTCTGCTCCAAATAGTTACATGCAACCTACCATGCATTCCACTAATGGCATGAGAGACCCATCTTATTCGGTGACCCCAACCCACCCTCACCCTCAATCTGGTTTTCCTCCGCCTCTTTCGGGTCTAGGTAACCAGAGACCTCCACATAGGAGAGGTATATCCGATATGAGTGGTGGCAGCACGCCAGATGGTAATCCCGATCAAAAACGTCAGAGAATGTATGCTCCCTCTGGGAACTACCAGCAATGATGGAGCAAACCTTAAGTCACCGATCTATCTTCCACCATGCCGAGACAATGGCTCTAGAGAACTCGTCAATTTTAATCAGCCCTAAATAACTCTTGGTGCAAGATCGTTCAACTGAAGATGCGCTCGACTTACCTCTTTCGGTGCTACATGATTCTACTCAGTATCTTATCCGACGAATCAATTTCCAATCATTTTGCATTCTGCCGCTATCAACTTCATTTATCTTTAATTTGTATATTTTTTCTTTCCTGTCACATGTTTAGACTTGGATGTCTAGTCGCTACTGGACAAGCGTCTTCTTGGACATCAAAAGCTCAGATATTGGCGTCTTTTATAGTTCTTCGCATGATAGGATGGCTTGCGAGAATGATACCCCGGCAGTCCATGAAGGTATCTTGGTGTTAAGTGATAGAATTAGTAGATGCGAATCATGGCATGGATTGATCTGGGATGGGGCGCATATATGGACAAAGGGACGGCCGGGAAATTATGAATGTCGACAGATGTCTGATCCAATGTTCAGACAATCCAGCTTGGAGCTGGATTTGCTGAAAATGAAAAGTTGGTAAAAGGAAAGGTAGTTGAGCTAGGATTGTAAGGATTTGTATCCATTCAAGCAAGGTAGAAAAAAATTGAAAATTTGAACAATCATACTGATACTTTTATGAGATGCAAAAAATGACTGTGCATGAGGGGATGAAGCTGACTCTTATATACACTTGTAAACGATAAGAAATCTAGATCGTCAGCCCACTTGAAGGTCTAGATTCTGAGAGACTCAGATATTGTATGCAGTGAGCCTTTGAGGAAGCGAAACGAGGCGAGAAAAGGCGAGAAAAGGCCAGGCAAGGCTAGGCAAGGCTGAAATGTGCGAAATATCTATGCTGTACTAGGATTAATCTACGGGTGGCTGCAACCCCACTACGAAGGAAGTAGGAACTTGAAAAATAATGAATAGTAAAGGAAAGGCTGTAAGTGACTCAACAACCGAATAATAGATACAGTATTTGGCCCCTCGATTTCTTCAATCTTGGATTTATATCTGCGAATTCAATCCCGAAGATTTGTTGAAAGTACCTTTTATTGAGAGGACTGGATTATTATTACAATTTCGTTTCGCTAAGAAACATATAATTCGGGCTCCTCGTACTATCCCGCACACAGAGAGACTTTCACTTCCCAAAAATTAAGTAGACGAATAAACGAATATGGCACAATCACATCCCTCGAAACCCGCCAAAAATGCCCCCGGAGCAGGAGGAAAAGGAGCGCAAGGAGGAGCAAAGGGAAAAAAGAGTGCTGCTGCAGGTGGAGGAGGAAAGAAGGAGGATGACAGGGACGAAACTTTGCAGGCCGTAGTACTTGCAGATTCCTTTGAAACAAGATTTAATCCTTTTACATTGGAGACACCAAGGTGTCTACTACCTCTCGCAAACACCCCTCTCATCGAATACACCCTCGAATTTCTCGCCATGTCCGGCGTCGCAGATATATATATATACTGTGGAGCTCATACTGAAGCTGTTGAAGAATATCTTCAAAAGTCCAAATGGGATCCACAATACTCGCCCTCGTCACCTTTTAGCAAACTCATGATGGTTAAAACTACAGCTCACTCGGTTGGCGATGCGATGCGGGATTTAGATGCGCGGAACTGGATTACTGGGGATTTCCTCTTGGTTCATGGAGATTTGGTTTCGAATTTACCGATTGATGCTGCGCTGGCTGCACATAGAGCGAGGAGATATGCGAATAAGAATGCTATTATGACTATGGTCTTAAGGTCGGCTGGATTGGGAGAACATAGGACAAAGTCGAATGGTATTACACCGGTATTTGTCTTGGATCCTACAAAAAATCGATGTCTTCATTATGAGGAGATGAACCCTCTTCAATCAAATAAATATCTCAGTCTCGATCCAGATTTACTTTCAGAAAGTTCCGAAATAGAGATTCGAACAGATTTTATTGATTGTGGTATCGATATTTGTACACCGGATGTACTTGCGTTATGGGCTGAATCTTTCGATTACGAGGTTCCTAGGCGACATTTCTTACATGGTGTATTGAAAGATTATGAGTTGAATGGAAAAACTATCCATACCGAAATTGTGACGGATCATTATGCAGCTCGAGCATTTAATCTACAAGCATATGAATCTATAACCAAAGATGTTCTAGGAAGATGGACATATCCTCTTGTTCCAGATAGCAATTTAGTTGCAGGACAAACATATAAATTTCAGCGAGGTGGATTTTGCAAAGAAAATGGGGTTATACTGGCTCGAACATGTAAGATTGGTAAGAGGACAGTATTGGGAGCAGGTACTAGTGTAGGAGATGGTTCTACGATTATCAACAGTACTATTGGTAGAGGGTGTCGAATTGGAAAGAATGTCACGATCCAGAATGCTTATATTTGGGATGATGTAAAGATTGGTGATGGAACATCTGTGGCTATGTCAATTATTGCCAATAATGTTTTGGTTGGGCAAAAATGCAAGATCAGTGAAGGATCACTTCTTTCATTTGGTGTGAGAATAGCTGATGGTATGGAAATCACTAAAGGCGCACGAATTACGACGGGAAAGACGGCAAAGGATGACGGAGATACACCAGTAGCTCTTCCAACGGATCCAAAAATCGTTGGGGAAGGTGGAGAAGGTTATGAATTTATCGACGACGAAGAATTCGAAGATGAAGAATCTAGTGCCTTTCATTCTAGTCTCATATACTCAACTCAACATCTCAATATTTCTAGCGAATCCATCTCTACCATCTCATCCGAGGTATCAGCTGGCGAAGTCGATACTCGATCCCGTCATTCCAGTTTCGCAGGTTCGGTTTCTGATGATGAACATGGACATGGTTCTTCGGAATCTTTCCACCATGATGCTGTTCAAGGACTCCTTGATACATTGAGAGAGAATGGTGATTTCGATGGTGCGAAACTGGAATTTATGGGACTAAGACTTAGTAATGATGCAGATGATTATCAAATCCGTCGAGCGATCGCAGCAGCCTTTACAAAATTCATCGCGGAATTAGTAACGGCCGGTATCAAAAATGCAAGTGAAGCAACACTACAAGCATTAAATGTAGCAGGGGCACAAAAATTCTTAGAAGAGGTCGCTATTGGGATTGAAAAGGATGAGGGAGGCATGAAAGAGTTTTTGGTTTGTTTACAGAAGGGATTGGTGGGAAAACAAAATGCGGCACCAGTTATGGCGGCGCTGTGTCAGAAACTTTATGAGAGGGATGTGGTGTCTGAAGAGGCGATTTTGGGATGGTGGGAAGATGCTGAGGGCGAGGATGGTGGGAAGGCTGAGGATGCGGAGATGAAGAAGGTTAGGGAGAAGACGGGCGTTTTTGTTGAGTGGTTGAGAGAGGCGGAGAGTGAGGAGAGTAGTGAGGAGGAGGAGAGTGAGGAGGAGGAGGAGGAGGATAGTGATTAAAGGGAAGGGTGATGGGAGGGGGGTAGATGGAAGTAGATGGGGCGTTGGATGTAAATTTTTATATCGTAGGTAGTAGTACACCAATGATTTATACTAAATTAGATTTTAGAGAATAAAAGTATGAATAAAATGAAATAAAATCAAGTTGTATAAGTAATATCAAGGTTGAGAAATAAGAATTCTGAAGTCTGAGACTTACCAAGATAGATAATATTAATAAGAGTTTGGCAGACGAGATAGACGAGGTGTGTAAAGTTA